ATGCTGCCACGGATGATGTTAGCACGTATGATGATGGACAAGACGAAGAAATGCCACAGCTGAGTTACCAATCAGGTTTCATGTCTTGCTTGTTTTGCGCTAAGCGCAGAAGACTGTTGTGATGACAGCAGTTGGCAATGTACATATGTATACAGACCGTGAGTGATTGGTGAGCAATGCTGGCTTCACGGAAAGTGTGGCCACATCAAAGTCTGAAGGGTTATATAGAAATATATATATATATATACATAATTACATATATATATATACACTGAATATTACTGAATATACGATATAATATATATATATATGTATATATGTATATATGTATATATGTAAATGTATATATATATATATATATGAACTTTCGGGGATGGCGATGGCAATATGTATAAATATATATATATATACATATGTTTTGATAAGCAAGATTTTCAGTTAATCACAAAGGCTACAGCATCTTTATGTTTTCAGCTTCATGAAACATATGTAGGATCACTATATATATATATACATATTTTTAAGGTTATATAGTTTTTCCCAAGTGGCAGGTGAATGAATATAACATACATATAAAACACATATATGTATATTTATGCAACCTGCTCCAATCCGTTTGGTTTTATTGAAATCACTTCTATGTATCTATCTATATATATATATATATGAAGCTACCGTTTGCCAGGAGCGATCAACACCGGAGATTGCAGAGCCAGAGCAGCCCGAGGCATATTCACTGGAATACGTATATACGGGTGCAGAAACGGAAGGCATGTTGCAGAGTATATATATACTTGTATATATGATGTGTTCTTAAAGCCTTTTATAGATTTTTGATTTTCAGCCTATCAATATATATATAATTATATATATATATACATATATATTTAGAGATCAGCAACACACACACATACATAAGACATTGAAAAAAAATGTATTTGGATATTCTTTCCACAATATATATATATATACTTTGAAATCAAAATATATACTACTAGTATCAAAAGATGATTTGTAATATATACATAAATATATTTTTTATATACATATATATATACACGATAAATATGTATACACTATATATATACAATATAGAAATATATATATATATACATTACATATATATATTATATACATATACAAGAACATGTTTCTTTGGTTGTTTTTGGTTAAGGCTTAAAACATATACATAGACTGTGTGCACCTGCATCAGGATTCCAACCAAGTGAAAGCGGATGAGAAGAAGGAAACTGATGGTGCAGCACCATCAGAGGAGCTACAGGACTGAAACCATGGGGATTTCTGGTGGTTTATATATATATATACGTGGGGATTTTGTGTTCTTCATGTTTCTCACTGCTCTGCATATGGAAGGGTTGTTTCAGCACACAGAGTTAGAATGCCTCATAATGTATAATCATAATCAATATCTAAAAATATCATTTCAGTGCCGATGTGAACCAACCACATATATATATATTAGTAAATTTACAACTATATTTCTGCAAACATAGAATGTATATATGAAGTTATCGTTCGTCAGGAGCAAACCACAACGGAGGTTGCAGAGCCAGAACATGCTGAGGCTGAGGCCTATTCACTGGAATGTGCATGTGTGCAGAAACCGGATGCATATTGTAAAGGATATGTATATATATATATATTTCTATATATATGCATAGGATCTATTCTCAAGTCCTAGACTTTCGATATTTTCACTATATATATATATGTAGATAACTCAAATAGGTATATACAAGTGCTTGCGATCAGCAACACATACATACATGTAATTACATGTACCATGATGCATGGTTTTCTTGTCAAAGAACCTTTTGTTTGTGTTTGGTTAAGGCTTATCTACATCAACTGTGTGCACCTGCATCAGGATTCCAACCAAGTGAAAGCGGATGAGAAGAAGGAAACTAATGGTGTGGCACCATCAGAGGAGCTACAGGACTGAAACCATGGGGATTTCTGGTGGTTTATATATATATATATATACGTGGGGATTTTGTGTTCTTCATGTTTCTCACTGCTCTGCATATGGAAGGGTTGTTTCAGCACACAGAGTTAGAATGCCTCATAATGTATCATCATAATCAATATCAAAAAATATCATTTCAGTGCCGATGTGAACCAACCACATATATATATATATCAGTAAATTTACAACTATATTTCTGCAAATATAGAATGTATATATGAAGTTATCGTTCGTCAGGAGCAAACCACAACGGAGGTTGCAGAGCCAGAACATGCCGAGGCTGAGGCCTATTCACTGGAATGTGCATGTGTGTAGAAACCGGATGCATATTGTAAAGGATATGTATATATATATATATTTCTATATATATACATAGGATCTATTCTCAAGTCCTAGACTTTCGATATTTTCACTATATATATATATGTAGATAACTCAAATAGGTATATACATGTGTTTGCGATCAGCAACACATACATACATGTAATTACATGTACCATGATGCATGGTTTTCTTGTCAAAGAACCTTTTGTTTGTGTTTGGTTAAGGCTTATCTACATCAACTGGTGCACCTGCATCAGGATTCCAACCAAGTGAAAGCGGATGAGAAGAAGGAAACTAATGGTGTGGCACCATCAGAGGAGCTACAGGACTGAAACCATGGGGATTTCTGGTGGTTTATATATGTGGGGATTTTGTGTTCTTTATGTTTCTCACTGCTCTGCATATGGAAGGGTTGTTTCAGCACACAGAGTTAGAATGCCTCATAATGTATCATCATAATCAATATCAAAAAATATCATTTCAGTGCCGATGTGAACCAACCACATA